ATAAGAGGAGAAGAATTATTTTTTAGCTATTATAATTAAAAACTTAACGACCCTATTTATTAATTATATAATTATATTAAGAAACTATACCCCTTTTTTTAAATATTTAAGCTTAGTTCCCTATTTAATTAAGCCTACTTAGAATTTAGCTTAGCTTACGTAGTTTCTTATTTTACTTATTTTATTTTTAAACGCTAATAATTTTTATAATTTATAAATACGTAGTCCTTAATAAGGTATATTAAAGGGGCGTCTTTAAGAATAGAATTATATTTATTTTTTTTAGTTTTAGTAGCTTTAATTTAGTTAGAAACTATATAAACTAAAGTCTTAACTCTTTTAATATTAGCTAGGATTAGAGATATTATATTATTATTACTTATTATATAATAATAATAATAGCCTTATTTAGGATCGGCCCCGGACTTTTTAATATTTTATTAACCCTAGCTTTTTTTAAAATAGTATTTTTTATTTTTAAAATATATATAATTATTATATTAATTATTAAAGTAATTTAGTAGAAAAACGTATTTAAAATAGGGGACTATTTTTTTAATTAGTTTTTTAATATTAGAACTAATATATTTTTAAAAAGATTATGTATAATAGTTATAAAGTATAGTATTTTAAACGCTATAAGCTTAGATAAGTAAAGAATTAATAATAGGGGTTCGTTTATTTAATTATTAAAATAGAGGGCTAAAATAATTAGTATAATTATAATTAATAAAAACCTAATAGCTCTATAAAAACGATCTACTTATAATACTTAGTTTATTAACGTACTTTTTAACGACGTTCTAATTCGTAGTTAATTACTAAAATTTTTAAGCTATTTATTTTTTAGTATATTTATTAAACTAAGGATTTATAATATAGAATTTGGTATAAAGCTCTCTAACTAATTTAGGAAAAGTTAACTAATTAGTAGTTTTAAGGATTTAAAAAGGAAGAACGTTAAATTAGGACTAGGATTAGAAAGATTAAATAGAGTAGTACTTATTATAGTTTATTTTTTATTAACTTCTTAGAATTTATAGCTTTAAGTTTTTTAAAAATAAGTTTTTTTAAGAGCGGAGAAAGAATATTACTAAGGCCGGACGTTATAATAAGTAGTTTTAGTAATTTAATATACGTTATTAATAGCTAAAGTATTAGATATAATAAGTAAGTAGATTATATTATTAAAAAAAAAAAAGAGACTGAGTAAAAAAGGATAATTATAATTAAAAAGCTATTATTTAAAAAAAGAAATAAAAAAAAATAGAGGGATTAAGAGAAGGCTTTTATATACCCCCCCTTAGACCTAGGGTATTAAAAAAGAAAGTATTATAAGCCTCTTAGTTAATTAATACTAAATTATAGTTATTATATAAAAAGAAGAAAGAGTAAATTATAGATTAGGGCCTTTTTATTATTTATAATTTAGCGCTTTTTTTTTAATTAATAAAGGCTACTTCGTAATTAATATAAAAGGGTAGCTTTTTACTTAGCTACTTAACTTTTTTTTTTCCTTTTTTAATTATTATTATTATTATTAAATAGCCGTTTTTAATTTAAATATTCTTTAGCTTTCCCTTATATTTTTAAACTTAAGATACTACTTTTTTATAACTATTATTAATTAAACCTCCTCTAATTTTTATTTTTTAATTTATTATATAAATACTAACTTAGTTATTTATAATAGCCTTTTTACTTCTTATTTCTTTTTTTAAGCTAGATAATAAAAAGGATATAGTACGAATTTAGGGTCTAATTATAATAAAGGGTTTTAAAAACGATATTAAATATTAATTAGGAAGATAGGATTTAAATAGATATATTATTTTTAATAAGACTAATTTTAGAACTATTATAGATATTAAGAACTCTTAGTTCGTTAATTTTAATACGAACTATTAATATAAAGCGTATATTAACTATTACTTAAGCTTAGTATTTAAATAAACTAGCTTCCCCTAAATAATCCTAACCCCTTTTAAATTTAATTATTTTAATTAGCTCGGTATAAGAGACGTATTTTTTTTTTTAATTAGTGCCCCGAGGTTTTTAAGGGTCTAAAAAACTAAAAAACTTAAATAAGTTAGAACTATTATAAAATAATAGAGGTCCTAACTAATTATTATAATTTTTAAAAATACTTATTATATAAAGACTAAATTTAAAAATACGAGATCGAATTTGCGATAAAGGTTATAATACGAGACTTTATTTTAATATATAATATAGTTATAATTAAGGAGAGATAAGAGAGTATTTTTAAACTAAATAAGACCCTTATCCTAAACCCTTAAATTTAAAAAACTATATAAAAAATTAAGATTTTAATATATTTAGTAATTTTTTTTTTTATACTAACGATCTGGGCTATTTTGTGGGGATAATTATTAATTAGCAAAATAGTATAGTTTATTAATACGATCCGAAATAGGTTTTTAAATATTTAAAAAGGATATTTATTAATAATATCTAAGTACTAAAGGCTTTTTATAATTAGATTAATATACCTCTTTATATTTAATAACTAATTAATATAAGCGCTTACGTAATCCCTATAATATAATAATTAAGTAAATAGAAATATAATTTATATATATTTAAGTAGTTTTATAACGTAGTTTAATATAGCTAGCTTAATTTAATTTATAATTTATATTAAATAATTTATAAATATTTTAAACTATTTAATAATAAGCTCTATATAGCTTAGATTTAATAAATTAGTTACGAGTTTTAATATAATAGTAATTACTTTTTTAATATAATAAGACCTCCCTTAAATAGGTTTTTTAAAAAAGTAATATATAATCGGGATTTTAAGAGTAGGCCCTATACTAACTTAGATAATTTTAATTACGTTATAACTAACGCCCTTAAAGTATTAATCCCTTAAAAATCCGGTTCTTATTTATTTAGTTTTAAATTTACTAACTAGGATCTAAGAATTTATAACCCCCGCAATTATAATTATTATATTCTAATCGATTTTATATATTTTAAAAAATAAAAAGGAATAATTAAAAGCTTTAAATAAGGGCTTATTACTCTTAAAGAGTTACCCTTATTATTTTAATTTTTAAAAATACTAAAAAATACTTAGGGATTTTTAATAAGTAGCGACCTTAATTAGACTTTATGAGTAATTAAACTAACAAAGGTTACTAACTAGTATTTAAATACTATTATTAATAATTAATTTATATACTTAATTAATATCCCTAAAACTTATTAAGTTATATAATCCTTATTAAATATATTACTATTTAAATTATTATTATACCTTAGCCCGGTTCTTAGTAAAACTAGCCTAAGTAATTAAGAAAGTAGTTTTTTAAATATTTTAATTAGGGATAAGAATAGCCTTATTATAAAAACTCTAATTAAAGTATTAAGAGTTTAGTTAAAATAAGAAGTTATTAAATATACGCTCTTTAAGTATAATCGGGCTATATAAGAGAATAGTAAACGTTAATATTAAGAGCTAGCTAAGTTTTATTAAAACCTCTTATAATATTATAATATATATAAAAGTAAAGCCGATATTAATAAGAGTATAAGAGAATAATAAGTTAATTAATATAACGACCTAATTATAAAAACTATATATATAACTTTAGCTTATATTTTTTAAATATTACTATTAATAAAAAAAGCTAAAAAGAACTGGGGTAATAAAGGTTAGGATTAGGAGATTACTAAAGAGGAATAGAATAAGAACTAAGTAAAGTTAGTAAAGAAAGTAAAAAAGGTAAAAAAGGCAGTTATAAAAAAAAAAGGTAAATAAAGGGCTTAATATAATTAACTATATATAGTAATTAGGATTAATTTAAAATAATTTTTTTTTATAAAAAATTAAAGAAAAAGAAATTAGAGAACGATTAGAATAGAGTAGGGTAATTAGTCCTAGTAGTTTTTTTTTAAAACTAATTAAATATAAGTATTTACGGGAGGGTTAATTAGAATAAGATATAAAAAAAAGGGCCCTAATTAGAAATAGCGAGTTTAATAGCGCGGATTTTTATTTTAATTATATATACATTTTTTAAGATCGAACTAGAGCTTTTTTAATAATTTACTTTTAAATATAATAATATAAGATAATTAAGAAGTTTACTTTTTTAATTTAGCTAATACTATCTTTTTTTTTTAATTATAACTCCGTTAATTAAGGCCGTATTAACCTAATTAAAGGAGGTATTTTATATTATTTTTATAAGTATTAGTAGTTCTTTTAAAGTACTATACTGCGAGAGTCCTTTATACCCTATACGTTTTTAATAATAAGTTATTTAGTAAACGTATATACCTCTTAGGCTTTAGTTTAAAGAGAAACGTACGTATTTAGGGCGTAATTAGACTAATAAAAAGCTCTTTTTTAACTATACTAAATTTAATAATTTTTAAGGAGTTTAGATATATAAATTATATATATTAAAGGATTAAGAAGTAATTAAAAAAAGGGGATAATAAAATTTCTATATAAATAATTATAATAAAAACTATATTAAAATTTTAGTATATAGCTTTAGGTATTTCTAAATAAGGGATTAATAACGGATTTTATTACTAGTTCTTATTAGCGGGGGACCTAGCCCCTATTCTACCCTTTTTTATTATAAAAATAAAAGATTATTAATATTAAATTACGAGGTAAAAAAGGGACCTTATTAAGTAGTTAGGTAGGGGGGTAAGTAGGTAGTCTGGGCCCGTGTAGACGGACCCTTTTACTTACTTATACTTATAGAGGGATCGCGGGCCCTGCCCACGATCTTCCCCTCCTATATATACGTAATAGACCTATACTGACCTATTGACCTAGTTGCGACCGAAAGGTCTGACCTGCCTACGTGTATACTAACACAATCAGCAGGTGGCTCCGTCATATGCCTGCCCTGGCCATTATAGTCAGATGCATGAGATTTCAGGATTCTGTTCTTCGTTTCCCTCTCTACGGCGTGCTTCTAATCCATTCCTAGCCTTTGATCGTACACAGCCTAGAGACGAGGCAGGTATTTGACATCCTGGATGCAGTAGCGAAGAATGTCCGGAGATAAAGGTCGCTGGTTGAAGACAGCATAACTTCCGCCCGACTGTGGGTTGAACAGATTGTGTCCCAACACTTTGACAGCTCTCCAGGCGAAGATTTCTTCGGGCGTCAATGGGGCATTCCTCTCTATGCATTTTGCTAATCCGCTGAGAAATCCTGCCTTGTTGTAACGTGAGGCGAACTCCATAAGCTGAAGATCTTGTATCCCGTCCAGATCAATCCTGAAGTGGTGGAACAGAGCATCTGAGTCGTTTCTAACATCGAAGAAGACCTTCTTTACGTTGGGGTCCTCCAAGAACCCCTTGATTGTTTTGCCTGATCTCTCGCCCGGAGTCAAGAAAGCTTTGTCACCGAGAGCATGGATATCGAGGAGGTATGTGTGTTGTTTCGGAGCCACATATAGCTGGAGGATGGATATGATGCCATGCCTACTGAGGTTGTCGCCTTCGAGATCAACATAATGCGATGGGACCGCGTCATTGGGCAGTCCGCTGAGATAGTCGACCAAGATAGAAATACCCTCTGGCGTATTGACGAGATCGTATGCGAGGGGTGTCATCGAATTACTATCATAAGCCGATGCAGAGCCGGGACTCGAGCCGACTGGCTTAATCTCGTTCGTTGTTGATGCTGCCATCGTTGGTGATGCTGCTTTTCCATTCGGGCAGCCGGAATTGGGTTGTGAAGTTGGTCTTGGAAGCTGTAGTCGAGTAAAGTTTTGATGTGACTTTGCGCCTCGTCTGGCTTTCTTATAGGCGTCCTGAAATGGTCGACGTCACTACCACAACAATTTCGAATTTTCCAAATGCGTGAAGATGGCACCTGCTGGGCGCAAATACTAAAGTGGTCTAGTTCTCAACAACCGTTGCGCGCGGACCCGTCCCTATTCCCCGTTGATGCGTGTCTTAGTTCCAACGAACTTGCTTGGAGCTTGGCCCCGATAGAAACTCCTCGTTACCTCTCTCGATTCTTTGTCAGTTCAACGGCGTGGCTTCAGATTGTGATTCATTTCAAATCAGTCAGGGGTTAGCAGGAAGTATGAGATTGAGGTGTCTTCTGTGAATCAACCCTGAAAATCAGGACACTCTGCCTCATTTATGTCCCTGTGGCAACTTTGAACCCTAATGGAAGAATTTACCATTGATGCCAAAATACCTGATGATGTCGGGCACGCAAGTCCGAAAGTAAACCAGCCCTTGAAACCAGGCTCTAATATCACAAAGGCTCTCAAGGTCTAGAAAGCTGATTACCAAAATACAATTAAACTTCTCAGTGTCTATCTATTTGTTACTTGTCGTCTGCTCGGAAAGCGCATCGCGAATCCGGATCCAATAGGAGTGATGTGAAGTCTGGATGCATTCCGTCACCCATCACCAATCATCGGATGTTGAGATATCGCTACCCCGCTTAGAGTATGCATGTCAGACAGTTGCCTACAGCCCGATTTAGAATTGCCGAAGATTGCATGCTCAAACATCTATATACGGCTTGTTGATCCTCCATCTATCAAATGGAGGTTGGAATTCTGCTCCAATCGCATCCTACTAGCATGATGTCGACCACTGAGGAAGCCGCGGCTGTGGCTGATAACCGATCAGAATTCACTCTTCATATTTTCCCCTTTTCTTTGTACTCCATCATGACTAGACTCACGTGTGCATTTGGGCACAGAGGTTCGGGGAAGCTGAAGTTGGACATGCAACTCGCGCTGGTCAATCTACACCGAAATCAGAATCTCTCTGCAGACTATCTTTTGACAGTCAATCCGAAGGGCCAAGTGAGGAACCCATCGCTTTCTCAGCCTGATTAGCTGTAGTCTTTCTTTGCACCTCCAGCAGAAGCAAATGTTCTGACAATAACAACTCTTATGAGGTTCCAACTCTGACAGGGGAAAGTCTCGACAGACCATTGACAAGTTCTCTGGAAATCTCCTACTGGCTGTGCCAACGTTATCCCCATCTCTTGCCGCGAGAACACGAAGCGCAAATCAGATTACGTCTGGCCAAGATGCACGACATCCAAGCCCTTTCCCTCTCTGTACCTGATAAGGAAGCCCGCGAATACGGAGTTCCCAATATTGCTGCCGAGCAACTGAGCTCAGTTGGTAAAATCCCCGAGGACTACCGGAGTGCATTGCAATTCAAAGCCGAATTGTAGGTTCGCGCAATCAATCTGCAGCACTTGCATGTGTGATCAGAAAGCTAACGAACAGTGCAGCCACAAGAAACACATGGAAAGTGCGCTAGAAGCCGTTCAAGTAGTCTTAGCAGAGTCCAAAGTATTGGAGGTCTTTGGTGAGATTAGCGACACTTATCACGAGGGAGACGTATGGCTTTTCGGCCAAGCTGTTGGCCCGACTATCCTAGATGCTCACTTGGTCCCGCTAATTACCCGTCTTCAAGATTGCGGGAGGCAAGATCTGGTACCCGGAATCTTGGCGGCGTACGCAGGTCGAGTCAGATCGACGGATGCATGGAGAGAAGCGACGCATGGAAGACCAACTATGTGGGATATTTCTATGGGCCATGTAGCTGACATGGAGCTATAGAGATTTCGTTAACAGATTTCATAGTCTTCATTTAGTCGGATCGTGATGCCACCTCTCACTTCCGAAAGCCTGTTACACAACCGTTCACATTTCCCCTCAATTATCACGACAAAGGTAAGCAGTGCCCCTCCAACGAAACAAGATCTAAACCCCGATGCCTGTATCCATTCAACAAGTCAGGAACAAATCTGCGTGTTCCCACCAAATGATCCAATCAATTAGCACCATGACCTTCCCGATGAGCTAGAGCAAGCTGCGGCTACACCCGTCATCAATGCTTCGACGATGAACCGTCACACCAAGACAATTTTCTTTTGAATCGTTGCCTAAACGTTTGCAGCCTGTTTGTGAAGACGGTTAGGCCCAAATTGGGTTAGACAATCAGCTACACCGCGTCCCAGGCGGGGCTTTCAATCCTACCCCATGCTTACGGCAGGGATTCTTTGGGAATCTCACGCTCACATTGGTGGGTTCGGTTTCGCCCTGGTGTATCCCACAATTTGTCTTCCGAGGTTGGTGGGCACAGATATTATCTCGGGCTGTCTCCGCTCGCATTCCTGCACCTCGCCCTCGGACTCCCAAAGTTCTTTCTCATCAGGCTGCCCGCTCACCGAGGGCGTCCAACGGTCATTTGCCCCTGACCGGCACGCGCACCACGTCAGTGGCTGGTTCGGACTTGAGACCAACAGACTGACAACAAGGCTGGCTCGAGCCTTTACGGATATTCGTACCGGTTGTCTTGTGTTTCTAGCGGAACTATGGCTCGGAAAGGTAGCCGAAAGGTTAGGACGGGATGTTTAACCTGCAAGTAAGTTCCATCTATTGCCGTCCAATTGGGTCGCGGGAGACGAGCCCGAGAGTAAGGTTTTCAAGATGAGTTGGCGCGTCGTCTAACGCTCGCTAGAGTACGTAAAATCAAGTGCGATGAGAGCAGACCATCCTGCAAGCGTTGTACCGCGACTGGCCGCAAATGCGATGGCTACCCACACGTCGCCGACTTGACAGATGTCTCATCCAGCTCCCCGGGTTCGGGTCCGTCTGTGGTCCTGACGGTCCAGCCAAGTCACGCCTCTCCGGGAGTCAGTTCTCCAAGCGACAACCGCGCTCTGCAATACTTTGCTGAAGCCGTGGGGCCGCTCCTCTCAGGGGCCGTGGATCCTTACTTCTGGACGCACATAGTCATGCAGTTCAGCACATTTGAGCCGGCGGTAACGCACTCCATCCTAGCCATCAGCGACCTCTATGAGCAGTTCCACACCGGGACTGACGAGATCGTTGCCCCGCGGGACTACAGCTTTGCTGTGCGCCACTACAATGCGGCCATGAGAGAGCTGATTGGCATGAAGACGCAGGACAAGCACCCCACGGTCCTGCTTGTCTGCCTCCTGTTCATCTGCATCGAATTTCTGCAGTCTGGGCGCGAAGCCGCCATTAAGCACTGCAAGCATGGGGTCGCGCTCCTTCGAAATACCCACAGCGAGTTTCCCTGGACCAAGGAGCATCTTCTCCCACTTTTCCGACGCCTCACAGAGTACTCATTCTTCTTCAGCGGCGAAAAGGCCGACTTCCCGGACCTGAGCGGACTGGAACATCCTATGCCCCCAAGCTTTTCCTCATTCCAAGACGCCCAGTTGATGATTGACGATCTCTACTGCCAAACTCTCCAGCTCATGAAGCAAGGATATCCTTTTCGTTCCCTGTCGCCAACGGGAAATGGCGTTCCCCCGAAATTACTAGCGCGGCAAGAATACGTCAATAGTATGCTCGACCGGTGGAGCATTCTCTTCACCCAGCTGAACAACCAAAGCAAATACACGTCCTCGCCCACAACTAAGGCTTTCGAGGAAAAACCAGACTACGTGCCAAACATGCTGCGCGGTTTCCTCTCCACTCGATACGAGTGCTGCCGTATTTGGCTGAATATGGCGTTTACTAACAATTTGACTGGTTACGACAAGTACGTGCCAAATTACAGCCAACTAGCAAAGAATCTCGCCGAAATGGTCGTTCAAATATCAGAACACTCGAAGCTGGAAGGTGTCCATGCCAAAACGTCCAAGTTCATGTTCGAAACGGGGTACACGCCAATGTTGTTCTTTTTTACGACGACATGTCGTCATCTGGAGACACGGCTGGAATTACTCCGGCTGATGCCCATCCTCGGGCTCCCGCGAGAGAATCTGTGGGAGATGGCGACGCTAGTTGCCGTGGCGCGGAGGGTCATTGAGCTCGAACACGGCATTTCGCTGGACCCTGCCGGACGACCTACGGTCCCGGTCTCACCTTCCGCGCCTCTGCCGCCAAACGAAAAGAGGGTGGCGGATATCTGGACGGAGCCCAAGACTGAAGAAAGAAATATGAACGGGCACGTTGTGCGTGGAAGAGTGGTTGGGTTCTTCAGACGTGATAAGCCTGACGGTGGCACATCTCTTCACACAGAGTTTGTGGAAGTAAGGAATGTCAAGGAGGAGTTGGGCGAGGGAATTGCGACTGTAGTGGTTCCATAGTATATACTTTGTATGAGGGGCCCAAAAGGGATGATCATCAGCTAATACCAAGTCTTCGTGGGGTGACAGGGATCCCGGAACCCTGGCTGTCGGTGTACTTCTTTCTTATCGATCCAATCAAAATACCAAGTTCAGCAGAGGTCTGGTCAATTAATCGCGACGTCTCCGAAATGAACTATCTAGGAATTTGACAGGGTTGAATATTGCAGTGATAGTGTGTTTCCTCTAAGATTTGTTCAGTTCTTCTATAGTTTGGACGTCGCTTATCTGGTTATTCCACACTTTTGTTAAAAGCGATTTTGTCCGCTTGCGCTCTCGAAACCTACTTGCACACATTCTCCCCCCATGGCTTCGGATTCTGCCTCAACAGAAGACACCACGGAGGCCATTAGCCTGAAAGATAACGGTCACCTTATTCTCACTCTTACTACATCCCAGTCTTTTTGTTAATATTAGCATCGGCCTCATCTACGCGCGTCAGACGCTCCGTGGTAATGACGGTTCCAACTGCTAGTTGCCAAGGTGAAAGAATACATGACCACTCCCACTTAGCTGTCTAATGTACATGCCCCGAGAGATTCAAGGAAGTTCTCACGCTATGAAACATGTTGCAGACTCGGAGTGATGTGATTCATGGGGATACAACAAATATAATTCCCATGGCTCAGTACAGTCACCAAAGAAAGAGGCAAAGATGAGACAGGTGTCAAAATGTTACAAAGAAATATTGCAATCTACTCTTCTCATGACTATACGTGGTCGAACGCCAATTTCTTGCCTTGCCCTACTAGGTATATATCCCATGCCATTACCTTAGTCGCAAGCTAGCAAACCCTGCCTTGTTCGTAACATGACGTCTGAGTAGTTCGGCCTACAGCTCCGAACGCAATGCGAAAACTTGGGGTACCCCGGGTATTTGCTTCGCTACCGCGCGGATTGCTCAAGGCCACATGGAGATACGTCGGAGCTCACGTGGAGTCTTCACCTTTCGGCGTTTGATTGTCACAGCCACGCGCTTCAAAGCACCTCTCGTCTGCACTGTTGTGAGTCTGATCGCAGTATTGAGAGAAGCCCACGCGAAACATTTTCTGAGACAGATGAACTCGACCGGTCAAGAATCCTTGGAGATGTTCCGCATAGCGCGTATGGATGTTGTTCGGATATAAAGTCACAAAACCCGCAAGTCGTCCTTTGATGACAATTTCTTCCCGGTTCTACAACTTCTGTTCTCATTAAGCTTTCGAGGATCCTGGCACATCGAACCACAGCAAAACCCGAGAAGCTTGACGTAATATTCTTTCAAACTCTAAGGGTAGTAATTCCACCTATCAGCCGTCTGAAATGCAACTCACCGAGACCCTGCTCGCACTCGTGTCACTCCTCGCTTTCGCCGGTTCGTCATAACTACGTTACTGAAAGCTATTTTTGACACACAGCATGCTGATTTATGCAGAGGCACAGAAAGCGTGCAAATTCGGCACTTGACAGAGACAACTGGGTGCGTGCTGTGACGGTTCCGGCACAAGCGAGACCCTGAAGAAGGTGAGTCCGTGATGTGGCAGAATAAGCTGAATTTTGCGGGTGATGGTCCATGGGATATTCTAGAGTCGTTGAGTGGGTTGATGGAGTGTAGGTATCGCATCATTGACCTAGGTTGAAGCTCAACTTAGAAGGACGAATTCAATTGTGCGCGACCAATGACAATGCCAATAAGATTGTAGCCATTGGTATCTGACTCACGATTCGTCTGATTGAAGTGCAGCAGAATGAAATAGATTTATCGAAATCTCTATTCCCGTCTTGGATCCGGTTGGAACACACTGTTCGTCATCCTGATGCAAACCTACATCTGGGGGCCTACCCCCACAAACCCGGCTATGTACTTGAGATAAAATATTCCTATCTCCAAGGCATTGATGTTCATCTGTTGCAATATCACTCACGAAGAACCTGCTTATCAGATTCCCATATCTACACATATGCCCCAACTACTTAATACCGTCTTTCTGATGTCTCTGGTACACGGCTTGCCGAATTTGCCCTGATGTCATCATATTGCCACTGATTAAGACCTATGAAGTATTACGTGTGTGAGTCGCCATTCAGAAACTCTAGCATCATATTCTCATCAGATTATTTTGACTGTCCCATGTTGAAAAGTCTCTCAGTTTTGATGAGATCGCCATCATCAAAAATTCGTACGTATAATAGGGCGATATGCCAAAGTCGCGCCAAAAGTGTGCCCGTGATACCATATCGCAATGGCACCGATTCCCATTCCGCCTTCGTACGTGTACCCAACTCCTTTCTATCCTATCGCCAGTTGTCGGTATTTGAATCAAAAGACAGGACGTGAACTTTTCGTAAATTTCGTCGTGATCTCAACGCCCAGTTCGCTGCTCATGCCTGGGCACCTCGTAATTCGGCGGCACTTATTTCAATATCGTCTTCATCGCCCAAGTGCCTCCCTTCCCTCTCAAATGCCTGATCTGCGTCAGCTTCGTCGTCGTCTCGCACGCAGCGCTCGCCTAGTTCTGTATCGGCGTCATCAGGTGCTTCTGCTGTTTCGAGGCCGATTGTTGTCGGTGTTTTTGATCGCCTCTGCTCCCAACTCTTTCTCGTGCTCGTGCTGTTGCCGTCGGGATCAAGCGGAATAGTAACGGCATCATCCCTTAGTGTGGATATGCCGCGCGATGGTCGTGTCAGGGTTCGTAAGGTTGACTCCTGGCTAGGTGATGTAATCCAGTTGATGACCAGGGCCGAGAAAAATACTAACAGGCCTTGGTCAGACTTGTCTACGTGAGGCGCCGCGCGAACACTTACTATCGGTGTTGCAGCATAGCAAGCACAGCCATGCCACCTCCCCATTCAAAGCCATGAGAACACTCAGATTTCTGTAATCCTGGTCAGTGCTAGCTCTCGTCAAACCGTCAGTGAAGAACTTACGTCACACTACTAACAAGAGTGCAGCAAGAACCAATGAAAGTGCGTATCACGAGTTTTCGTAGCCGAACATTGGGTGGAGCTCTGGGGATACGACGATTACGCCAGTCCAATGTCCATGGCTTCCAGAAATTGTACTTCACGGAGTGTAGACCTGAGCAGCGTCAGCAACCGTACAACGTAATTGTGTCTTTAGTGGCTTACTCAGTAAAGGAAGTAAAAACAAAATTGTGAGATAAACCTGGTCTACATTAGATCAAGGTGGGTGTCACGAGGTGAACGTATACTCACATTCACAGCTGCGTCGAAAGAGATGAGTGGCAGCAACACTGGCTGTTCCATCCCAATAATGCAGATGCCATTCTCGAAATGAGTAATTCGGCTGGGGAGACTGTTAGCCGGAGGAGAGTCTCTAGAGTTACCCAGGCATACAAAATAAAGTTCATGATAACAACCAGGACGAACACGCCTAACATAGAGATTAGTTCAAAAAGAATAGGCGTGATAGAAGCTTTGAAGCGTACCCAACATGCCGAATGAGTTGAAAAGATAGAGTTTCGACTTTAAGCGCCTTTTCCTCGTTTGTCTAATGATGTGCTACACATTGATGTAAGTCACAGGAGTCAAATATGTCGCACAGATTCACTTACTGCCCTATCAACCATGAAGAGGTAGATGAACTGTTCACCGTGTTAGATACCGCTCTAGTGCACGCGACTGACACGCTCTTACCAACTTATTCCGTGGTTAGTCCAAGATATCACTGAGATTTGCGATGAGTCTAGCTTACCTTGGTAGACACATATGCCCCCAAACAGAAAAGTGTCGCGGCGGAACAAGTGTCGAAGTTCAGATCGGCTCCGAATCCAAATTGTAGGATTGAAGTGCCGAATACAAACAGAAAGGAGAAGAAGTAGATGAGTACAACCACTTTGAAAGTTAGTAAACCTCATGGACAAAGGCGTATGATCGCGAGGGCTCCTTACGCCACATCGTCCACGGTAATGCCTTCCAGTCCTTCACTGATGTCCATCTCATCACTGTCGAGATGTTAGCACATTACGTTCGACGTCGAGTTTGTCATGAAAGCACTGACCAAAAAGACTAGCAAGGAGACAGGCCGATATCATGGCGACGATGATGCTGACGACCTTTCCGGCGAGAGGCTCCGCCTCATGATTGATGCTTAAGCGACGCATCACCGCCTCGACGCGTTCCAACTCCATAGCTCCAGCTCCTGCGTGCTGTCGCGAATTGCTATTGAGGCCCCATTAAGACAATTATTGTTAGTTTCCAGCCCGGAGAAGCCGATCCTAGATGTGCCGAGCGGAAGCGGAGGTGCGTGAGTGAAAACAGGGCGAAGCGGAGGCCCGCGATGAATCAATGTTTCGAGGTCCCTTGACGACGACGAGAAAATTGGTCGATGCTTCCGTTGACACTTGCTCGTTTGTCCTTGTAGAGGATGAAATGGTGCGCTCTCTTCAGTCCGGTGAGGCGGGAGGGGGTGATGGGGAAATCTGTGAAACGGCACGGGGCAACAGGGAAAGATGGGCATTGATTGGGAAACTTTAGCATTGCGCTTTGGGGAGCGAGATCAATCGGATCTTGTTCCTCATGTATGGAAATCTAAGGGATTCCTGCGCACGCTCTCATAGATAGCTGCCGCACGTGGCATCCTAGTGCCGTGCGTGTGCGCGGAATGTCCAAGCGGTGATGAACAAATACCGTCAACTCTCGACGAATAGAGTTTTGGTCAAACGCGCCATGCAACGGTAGGATGGTGGCTTACCAGCCAAACCTGACTCGTGTTCTGCCTCTTTCCATCACCGACGTTGCCCACGGCAAACTTGTTCCGTCACGGCTCGTTCTCGCTTGGACCGGGAGGATTGGGTTTAATCAAGAAATTGACTCTCTGAATCCGTCGACAATGGAACAATGGAAGGAGATGGCGTAGCCACGTGACACCGCCACGGGTCCGATCACTTGGAACCGGGTTTCTGTCTTCGTCATCCGAGCACTCAGGGTCTTATGCGAGCAAAGGTTCTTCCGATTTTTGGAATCGCGGTTTCTGTTTTGGGATCACCTTTCAGACCTTGCGTCTACCTCCTAGACAGCCCCGTTCAGAGTCGGCCGAGATGTTCGCGGCTCTCCTCCCCGCCGGCCATATCTTCAGGGGCCCTACGGGGTGGCATGGATGGGCAGATCGAACCTGGACTCAAACAATCGCGCGATAGTCGTCAAAAAATGTTTCCAGGGTGAAGGTGAACACGATTCACCCATCCGTGGATTGGCATATAAACGCGGCATGAGAGACTCTTTGGTGTTATTAAGAAGTAGTCAACAATATCCAACCTTCCAATTTTCGATCAACCGTTCTTTCCGAAACCCAACTTGTCTTCGGCATTTCAGCTTGCTAGAAAAATCACATTGCATCCTTACGGACTATTCATCATTGACTTGCATCAGATACAAAATGCGCTCTTCAACCACCCTTATGTCTACCGTGTTGTTTCTCACAGCCACTGTCTTCGGGTAAGCGTTCCCCCACCCGGCTAGATCTCCGTGGCTCTAGATCCGCTAGATCCGTTAGATCCTGCATGCGCATGCTAACGCGTTTTGCGCAACACACAGGCAGGGAACTGGACAATACGGGACGTACTACTGCATGACAGTGGAGGGAAAGCCAGCCCCGAGCAACAATTTCTGTAATGCAGTAAAAGGCGCAGTCCTCCCTTCCCCTGGCGTAAGTGTTCAATCTAGTGGCGAGAAGTAAGATTGTGTTTGTAGCTGATGAATGGCTCTTAGTTCTGCTGCATTCGCTCCTCCGACTTTGACAGACTCCAGGCTCTTTCGAAGGGGTGCGCAGATAATGGCCTGGTACTTGGACAGAAAAAGGTTCCTTGTAGCCCATAGATCAGAGGATGCAGGATTAATGAATTTGAGCGAAATGTTTTCTGCCTGAAGTTTCCTATCGTCACAGGGTAGTCACTTAGCAGTTTAAGCTTGCCCTAACTTGTGTCTTCTTCCCGTCTTTTGAGAATGTTGATAATCGATAAGAGCACTATTCGCCACTTTTAATATTCATGATGGACCCATGTATACGCGAACCATGAGGTATAATTAAACCAGTAAACAATGACCCCAGATGGTATCCACTGAATAGAATTCGTTCCCGCCCCCTGAACCGCCTGGGTATATCCGATGAGAGCGGGACCCGGAAGATCGTTGTCTCAGGTAGAGGCCGACAGCCGTCATATGGTGGTGAACGGGGGTTTTTGTTGAGGGCGCTAGTCAGCTACATGGGTTTCCCAAGCACGCCGTCAGTATTCTCGGGTCTACCGACATGAAGCTTCGGCTGTAAGAGGGAACGGCGGCAAAAACTCCTACTTCGAGACTTCCTATGCGTAAACAAGCCTGCAAGGTGTGTGGCACTGGTCAAAGTCTTGGCACGAACCCCAGGCGCTCGGATGTGAATCCGGCTCCCACTTCGAGCTTGTTTGCGGATTCCACATTTCCACACCTTAAGGAATGAAGCTGTCATGGTACTATAGTAGGTAATTCTAGTAGAATCCAAGCAGGACCGAAGTGCGCGCGGTTGGTGTGTACTGCCTTTAGATTCTAGGTAGTAAGGAAGGCGTGCCATAATGCACTAGCGCAGAGCTTGGTGATGCGATTATCCTCCTGATCATCTTCGAGTAGTTTTAACGCGACACAGTTCCGGTCGATGCGATGCGCATCAACGTACCCAGATCTTCCACCTGTCGATCAGTAAAGCCATATTCGTTGAGTCTCTTCTCCAAGCCTGCGCGCGATTTTACTATATAATTATTCGAGTGAATTTAGAAGTTGATTGTCCGAGTTGTCTTAGACCCAGCGCTGCGATGGCAGATTCAATGTGCTTCTAGATTCGTCACATCCAGGCCAGATACACACAGATTAAGACTACAAAACGTATGGAAGCTTGGGCGAAGGCGACCCATCTGAAATTTTGCTCCTCATAGAGTAGTAAAGCCACTTTCCACTACTTGTGCCTTAGACTTCATTCGTGTCTTGACTATTGCTTAGCTTACTTTAGAGCGGATACAAGACCGAGATTCACAACACTAGATCCGAAATTACGCAGGATGGATCTTGAGACTATTTTGGTTCCGCTCCTGCATGTGTCATTTTGGCGGTCCGTGAGCTGCGAGCCACATGTGCTTGTTCGCGAACAGACTATTACATGTTGGTCCGGAAGGTCATACTAGTATCGATGCTGAGTATTTCCCCATCAAGAGACTTTGTGTCTTCGCTGATTGGTCGAATTAGTCATCCTGTCCGAACATCATTGTCCGGACGGTGTTGCCTCAAACAACGTATGTTGTTGCCACCAAGCATTCAGCGTCATTTTGATGACAGCTTTTAGTTCTGACTGATTTCAATGGCACAAAAAGTTCGATCTGGCTTCCTCAAGTGCAGGCTAAGACTTTATTAGTTCTTTTTTTTAATTTAATAAGCGTACTAAGTTGGTGATTGTATAGAGTGATTAGCGAAAGAATCTTACGATTTCTTGGCTGACTCTGCATGGTCGAGTACTGGAACCCTAACCCCAACCCTTGTTATCCTGAGTATTCCCGAAACGCAACAAGCGGTTTTGACCGTTGTCGAAGTCCCTCCGCTTTCCTCAGCCGGCGAAATAGTAATGTTTGCTCTGATGTGGTTATAGTCCGGGGCTACCGAAACAAGGTCCCGCAGGGCAAATCTTTGAATGATAATGGTTCTACCTCTCTTTTCCTTCTGATCCTCTTGCATGTAATATATTGGTATTTTTGCTACCAATGGCTTGACTTCTGAGTCGTGAGATGCCCCAAACTCCCTAAGCATAATGGTGGAATTTTACATCTTGAAACTTGGAGTCAGGAACACTCAGTGGAGGAGGTGAAAACTTGGTGTAAAGCCCACTGAACGCATATTTCCTATAGATATATTGAAATGCCTGCATGCCGGTAGGAATAGCATCATCCGTAGGAGCCCAGAATCGCAATTGATACCGCCCTCGACAAGCCTCAACAGAGATTCAGCGATGTTTTACTGCTAAGTACTTCGATGGGTTTGGATTGCTATGCTGATTGATCAGGAACGAGTGGAAAGTGCCTTGAGCGGAGCTGATCAGGCTAGCACCTGTGATATTGCTGACCGACGACGCAGTGCTTACGCCAAGCGTCCCCCTTCCGAAGCTTGATCCTCCGGGAGCACCCGCCACTCGCCTGCATTCGAGTAGCCAATCCCACTGATCCAGTTCGTCGAGATTGACGTTGCTTCCTGCAGTCTTGATTCGATACGCTACAACCGGGGGGGCTGCTGTCAGATATGATCGACTTACTACGCCTCCGTTGATGTTACATTCCCGTCTCCCTCGCAAGCAGCCAAGTTGATGGGCAATCGCACTTTTGAAAGGATCCAGCCCCCGTCCAGCTGCACCTACTATTCACATTTGCTGACAACTGCGGGGTTACTATGTTGATCATGGGAATTGGTCTTTTATAAATTGCAAGCTGAGCCTCACAGAATCAGGACACCATGCATCACGCCCAGTGAAGCTGACTCGCTTCATGAACACTTTCGAGCCAGGTCCTCCGCGAGAAACTACCCGTCATGGCAACCTCGAACTACTCCATGTACCAGCTCAGCGCCGACCACACATTCCACTTTGAAATCCTTCGCGCCCTCAGCCAATCCGTCTACGACGGCGCCGACCTCGGCGAAGTCCTCACCACCGCCAACAAAATCATCCCTGGCGACTTCGCAAGCTACGCCACCTCCTTCTCCGCCCTCGCCTACAGCGTCCTCGACCGCGCAAGGAGCATCGCGAAAACGAAATTTCCCGTCTCCGCCCGCAGCGCCTTCTTCGCCGCGGCGACGTACTTTCGTAGCGCCGACTTTTACCTCCACGAGAACGCCTCGGATCCCCGCATCTACGAGCTGTGGGGCAATCAGACTGCCGCATTCGATGAAGGTCTCGCGTTGTTGACGGTGCCGAATCAGCGTGTGACGATTGAGACGGCGGACTTTGATATCCCGGGTATATGGTTCACGCCTGACGAGGAGGAGACGCAGCGCCCGACGATTATTATGGGGAACGGGTATGATGGGTCCCAGGAGGAGATGTACCACGCCATGGGCGCCGCCGCTCTCGAGAGGGGATACAACGTCCTCACCTACGAAGGGCCAGGCATGCCTTCCGTTCGGCGGTACCAGGAAATCGGTTTCATCTACGATTGGGAACGAGTAATCACTCCCATTGTAGACTGGCTCCTTGAGAAGCCCGAGGTAGTCGACCCGTCCTCGATCGGCCTCCTCGGGTTTTCCTTCGGTGGCTACCTCGCCCCCCGCGCCGCGGCCTTTGAACACCGCCTCGCCGCAATCTTCGCCGTCGACGGCGTCTGGGACTGGCCGGTCGTCGTGAACGCTACCCTCGGCGCAGAAGCCATGGCGATCTACGACTCGGGCGACAGAGCGGCCTTTGACGAGTACGCGAAGCGGTTTCTACAGCCCGGGGTACCCGCGACGCTGCGCTGGGGTCTCGGGCATGGGATGTGGGCGTTCAACACCGCGTCCGCGTACGACTTTGTGACGTTGTCGCTGGATTATCGCATGGAGCCTGTGGTGGATCAGATCCGGACGCCTGTTTTCGTGGGCGATGCGCAGAATGATTTGTTCTTCAAGGGCCAGGCGGCAGTTCTTGCGGAGGCGTTGGGGGAGTGGGCGTATTTGCATCATTTTACAGAGGAAGATGGGATTGGCGAGCACTGCGGGATTGGGGCTTTCAAACAGCACAATCAAGTTATTTTTGACTGGTTTCAAAACCTGTTGGACTCCAAGGAAGGTGAATAGAGGATTTTGGCATTTTTCTCCATAGCATGATCGATCTTAGCTTGAATGACATGTTCTCAAGCAGTGTCAGCCTGCATAACCACAAATGCTATTGAAACGGCTGTTACCATGGCATTTGGTTCCGCTGGTAGCTGCACAAGTTTACCAGTAGAATCCCATTTCTTCAAAATGTGGAATCACACCTGCCAAGTGAATCATGTGCCAATTTTGGCGAGGTATTTATGTATCCATAGACTTTGAGTGACTGCAAGTCTTCATTTCTGGCTGGGGTACACTTCAACAAAGGATATGAGAAACCAAGGCCTCTGCCGAACTAAGGGGAACTGGTGCAGCAGTCGCTCACCCGTAGAAAAGGACTGCAACCCTGAAGAACCCACCCTGATGTT